ACACACACACACACACACACACTTATCAATAATTAATATAAAATATCTTCATGGTCTCAACAGATAGTAATATAATTGAACGATTTTCAAAAGTTAAAAAAGAAACTTGGAATTAATAATGTAATATAAATATTTTTTTAATAAACAATTAATTTTTGTTATTACTTTTATAAATAGTTTCAGATGAAAATTGATAGCAATTTAACTATTTAAAATATATTGTCATCGTGTAACAAATACATAACAAAAAAAAAAAATGATTTACATAGTAAATTAGATTTATATTAGTGAGTGATAAAATCCATCCCTGGTTCAATAAGAGAAAAACAAAAATAAAACACTAATATCTTGTAAAGAATACAATATTATAATACGTCGTATATTTAATAAAATAAGCAGTAAAAATAAATTTACTAAGTTAAAACCTGATACAAGTTTGAATTTTAAAATTTGGTTCATGTAACAATAATAGTTAAATTTACTAGAAAGTTTCCATATCGTTGAGTTTAATTTCGATAATGTCGAATCATTTCTTTTTTTATAATATATAACTAAAATAATTTATATACGTATATCAGGTGATTATTTTATCATTTAACTGTTATTTTCTTCGTAAATTTATGCATTTTTTAAATCACTTTTTTTACATAACTTGAATAAGGCATCACACAATAACTTGGAAAAATATAACATTTATAAATTTAAAAATGATGAGCATTTTTCAATCGAAAATTGTTTTATAAATACAAAGTCATTATATAAGGAAGAAAATAAATAATCCCTTTTAGCCTTTTAGGTGTATAGTGAAAATCGATAATTTCGAAATCAAGTAGTGAACATGTGACCGGTGTAATAATAGCTCTTGTTAATTTATAGTAGAATTATAGCCGTATAGGTACCTATACTTCAGCAGGTTTAGCTAAATATCGAATTGTAAATTTAAAGGACAGATTGACATCAATTGATATCCTGAAAACCAKCATTTAATTATTTCACTGATCCACTAAATGCAATTATCTGCACTAACTAGTAACTATACACAAACGACTGAATATATATAGGCTATATAGTTATAGGTACTATGAATTATGATTAGACATTAGAGAGAGTATGAGCAAATTATATAAATAGTGAATTGCTATATGGATTATACAAATAGCACATAATTTCCTTACAATAAGCAAACCATAAATCTTAATTWTATAAATAATATAAGACAAAAACGAAATAATTATAAACATTTTCAACATTTATAAGATATAAATGATAATTGTATTATTTAGAATGTTGTATCACATCGTAATCGATTTTTTTTACATTTCTATGCGGTGCGATGAATGTATTGATTTTAAAATAATATGTTTTTTTTCCAAAGATATTTTTACTGTAGAAAAATAATTTGATTTTCCACTTCACCTTATTTTGTGGTCAGTAAGTATATTTATGATTTTTTTTTTTTTTTTGGGGGGGGGAATTAAAAGTAAAAATTCACAATACTTTTCTTAATAATAATAGATAAAATTTAAAAATATTAGAGATATCCACGCATAATGTTTTTAAATATTTTATAGAATATTAATTTTTTTTTATTTCCACAAAATTATTCTATTACATCACAAACAACAAACCAATTCATACCATTTTACGGTAAATCGGTATTAACTTAAAAACTAATAATAATAATAATTGGTACCTATATTAGTATATTATTATGATATGAATAATATATTATAAATATGATGAAAGCTATGTTTCGGTAAAAATGAATTCAACTAGCAATTATTATTACTAATAGTAAGATAAATTACTTTAATATTAGTATAAATATTTCGTAAAATATACTAGATGATATAGGCTGATAACTTTGGTGAGCATCGTTTTTCATTTACAACGGTTTATCATTGAATTCAAATTAAACGTCATAATAATATACATTACAGTGGCTTACTCAATAATGAGATTCAGTCAATACCCACTCAGTAGGTAATATAATAGCAAAATGATAATGAAASGTTYTTATAAGATACATACCAATCCCCGGCTCCAGAAACACTGATGGGCGTCTCTATTTTTTGCGATGGATAGTGTACCAACGMAACCGTGTCATCGACTTGTCTCGAAGCCAACTGTCACGAAACAAAAATACATCGTTTAAATATTTCTCACAAAAGATTATTGGATTTTTTCAGTATTATTCTTTTAAATCGAACAGCCTTTTGGACTGTGCATTTTTTTAGGCTTGTAAATCTATGTATATATATATATATACATACCTAACATAATAATACATTTTACAAATACATTATACATACCAACAGCCCTTTGTCGCCAAGGGTTACCATAATGACGGGAATGTGCGATATTAGCTTACAAACGATGTCTTTTGAACTATTCATTATGCGATCTTGTGTGTCGAATTCGCCGTTGCCGCCGTTAATGGAAACTTTAATAGCGTAATTTGCACTCACTTCAGCTGTAATGAAAAAACAGAATGAAATTTCCTTTGGTATCTATCACAAAGCGTTCAAAATTGATATTCGGTGATATATCGGTGTTGTTCATCGATTACTGTTAAACGTACACTCAACTTCGAGGCACGCGAGTTTGATAATGTTTAAACGGATAAAGAACAACTTATTTCGAAATCCTCGCGAAACCCCTGGTCACAAAGGTACACAACTGCTAGTGTATTGTAACTTTGTGGTTGTTATTATAACGATTACCGCTGCCGATTGGTGTATCATAAAGSAAAGCCAATTGGATTTATGAAATTTATTAGTTTATAACTTTTTATTGTATCGAACCGCTTTTTTTGGTGACATAACAATTTATACTACACCAACGCACTACAGTTTAAATTAAATTTTTTTTTTTCTACAATGCCCGCTAAGATTAGTTTGCTAATATTTATTAGATTTCAACATTTTATAGTTCACAATTACTTGACGTTTAAAATGACTCTGCAGTTACACAATAATATAATATTGTTGTGTTGATAACAATTTCGCGACCAAACTTTTCCCTCTGGAAATTGACAACAACTCCGTTTAAATGCTCCTTCAAAATAATGTTTAACTTATATAATTATACAAAATATCTAGAGTTGGTTTTGAAAGCATTCGTGTTGACTGCAKATTCCAGAAACCTTTGCTACTTATTAATATTGCAATAATAACTCCATTTCAGATAAATACCAACACAATATACCTAYCAGGATAACGACAGAAAATCTGTGAAAAATGATAATGTTCAATTAAACGCGACACAAATGACAACTATGTGTCTCTGTCGGAAATTGTTTGTGATACATTATGGTTCTGAATATTAATAACTCAAGTAACGGAAAATGTTTTATGGATTATGTATCAAGATTATTCGAGAAAAAGAACGAACGACTTAGAAATGTCGACATTGTTGGATGTACCCTACCCCCTTACCCCATCCTCCACATGTACATAATATAATGCTTAAGTACAAAATAGTAATTTCACGATTTCATTCATATGCAATACCATGAACATTAAACTCATATTGTATTCTAAATACATTTTATAAAACATTAAATAAATAAATACGCATTATATTTGTGTGTATTGGTACTTCAATATAATATCCGATTTATTAATAATCCATTTCGCCCAGTTTACTAATATAATATATAGGTCAAAATAAGTTATTATTTATTTTTAGCGTTGAATTCCTATGATTCAAAACTAATAAATAAAATAGCTTAATGGAATACATGGTTCTATAGGAATGTATTGATTGGACAAACAAAAATAAGTAAGCCCGTGAATAAAACAAATTGGAACTCGAGTAGTTAAAAAAAAAAAAAAACATCAGCACTCTTTTGTCTTAAAATACGAACATGGCAAATATTACGATTTATAATCTACCCGTAATACGACGGAGATTAATACTATTTTCAGGGACTATTGCATCTTTCGTCATTTCAATAAAAACATATAAACACCATTGGTAATAACTAACAAATCTATATACGACTATATTATACCTATTACTATCGATACTTAGATATATTCGTGTATAGTGATGTAATGGTATATACCTTAATAGTTGGGATTCATATTATGCCAATTAATCCTGATTGACTGCTCCGAAGTATGTACTCTGATATATATGAGATGTCGAAGGAATGGTGTTTTTTTTTCATTCGAACGATCATTCAAACGTAATGCATTATGTTATTATATGACATATACAATCAACGCGACAAAGTTAAAACACTGTTTTCATATAATACCTAATACACGCACTTATCAATAATAAACTTTATGACTTGTATTAATGGTTTTATTAAAATATGATGAGAATATGAGATGTAATGTGGTKGTTAATTTATTTTTGATGAAGACGCACAATGAAGTTGTTCTGGTTGATTTTAAATATGGCGAGATGRTTCGGAAAATTGAAGATTTTGTAACGGGAAATGCCTCGTTTGTGCACAAACATAGTATCATATGCATATGTTTTCGTTACAGCTCGAGTATAATACACAATTAGGCGGAAGTGGAATCACTGGATATCCAAGTTCACGACTTAATTACACTTATCATATAACTTTCTTTTGTACTAATAATACGATTGTATACAACGTATTATMGTTGTTTCTCGAGATAAAATTCATACGGCGTAATAGTGTTTATACTGTAGAATAATAGCTTCKATAATGAATACTAATTTGGATGTATCAATAAAGCATAACGAACAATATTATTGACTGAAGTATACAATTAAATTATAAACTAAATTTTTACTTCTGCATTGTTTAGTCTATGTGAAAATCACAAAATAAAGATAAACGCTTTATTTTAAAAGATTTTTGATCTCTTGATTTCTTGACAGCGGGCAGATATCATAGTAAMAAGAAAATRTTAAAAGTTTAAATGTTTAACACGRCGTAATATAATTATATAACGAATTGGAAATGACAGATACAAATACTGATACGACTAAGACTTTACTGACGGTGATGGCTCAACCGCTTATCTTTATTGCGCGATTCTGCAAGACCCGAAAGTACGAAATGACATTGACGAAATTGTGATTTTTTTTATTTATGTATAGGTACACTCTGTAACGGTACATAGTACGCAAATTTCTATCTCCTTAATTTTATTTTTGCATTACTATAAATAGGTATGTTAAAAAAAATGTTTTGCTTTTTGCTATTAATGTTTCCATCGATGTTAAACCATTCACGGTTTTTATTTTTATTTTTTATTGTTCCCGATTTTAACACTCCAAAGCCCTTTTTATATGTTTGGAGGAGTAACAATAAATTAACAAACGGTTTTATGCAATATTTTTATTCACAATTAATCAAAACTTTATAAGATTATTATATTTTAATATTATGCAGGAATTTCAATCATTTAAGATCTAAACTATGTAATCAAACTCTTTAATCTTTTCGTATATCCATATCCAAACATACATTATAGCCTCATATACAGTGGTATGTGCAGAGGTGGACAGTATCAAAGAAACAACTGTATCTTGTATTGAAATACATCATTTTAAAGTATCAAATAGCATGTATCATGATACATTTTATACTGGTATCATATATCTTATTTTGCCAAGAGATACAAGATACTATCATTGTAAACATTATTGTAATGAATAGTATCAAGAAATTTAATTTCGATTCGCAGAACACTCAAAACTTAAAAGAAATGTAAAAATGTTATAACTGTTAGATAATTTTAACAACAAATAACTCAATCGTGGTGCCAGTATAYTTCTATTCTTACAGTCATTCAAATAAGAACTTAACTGGAATTTTTGTTCTCATAAAATATGCATGCATTACCTAGATATGAGTATAAATCTTTCCACATAAAATAGAAAATCAAATCAAAAGTGGAKTCGTAACTCATGGAGATATATATTTGTTATAAAAGTATAATGTGTATTAACTTATATTGTATTATTCAATATCTATGACTTTATAAGTATTTATGTATAGGTTACTAACCTAACCAGTTATTAAAAACTTTAAATTAGAAACATAAAATATGTAGTATCAATGTATCATGTATCTTGTATCTAGATATACTAAATGCATGTATCGTGTATCATGATACTTTTTGAGTATCATGCCCAACCCTGGGCACGTGTTATGGACTTTTATGGTATGTTTATAAAATAGAGAAGATGAGGTCCAACTATGGATTATTTTGGTATAATATTTCAAGGATCGTTAATGATATTAAATCGAATGATACAGTCGATAAATACGTTAACCTTTGAACTTAATTCAATTTTGGTAAAAAGTAATATCATACAAAAACATAATTACATGTTAATATTATTATTGTTAAGACACTGATGAAAAATTGTGCACGTTTTCTGTTTATAGTAATAYAATTTATTAAGTCACTAAAAACTCTGATACTGCTTAGCAACAAGTCATTTATTCGTCCGAGTTAAAYACAAATTATTAAATGATCATACTATATGGACCACTAAAAAACTACTCTTCCGTTAAAGCTGGTAGTTTTAAGACTGTTTTGATTTGAAATTCTGCGGTTACATTTTTAACTAATGAAAAAAAACTTATAAAAATGGATTGAACTTACTACAGTTAAGAAATTAAATTAAATTCGACAATATTAAGTTTTCGCGAATGAACACTATAGTTAATTAATTATTAATATCTAAAAAATACCTAATATCGTATTTTTCAATTTTTGAGTAGTACTGAGGAAGTATTGATTTTACGATGATATGTTTTACAGAAACACCTTTTTAAGCCACAAAACTACTCTAAAACATAATATTACCTTATTTTAATTTATTATTGATGTACTAAATATYTATCCTTATACAATTAAAAAACCAAAGTATAACAATACGATTTTTATTAAATTGCTATTTGTGTGAATGTATTGATAATTATTAATTTTTTATATATAAAATTATACTATCTTGTATTCGCATATCTTTATGATACTAAAAACAAATTATTTATCAGTGGAAACAAGCTAATATTAGTAATACTGAATACATTTTTTTCCTTTAATAATCATATTTTTATTTAAAGAAATGGATATATTTTAATTTTTAATAATTTAACAAATAAATCATATAAATAATTAAAATAAAATAACTAACAACATGATTGTATAGTAATATTTTATAAAACGTAGAAATGTTTTAACATTAATKTTTATAATTAACTATTATAAAAACTATATACTACAACTATAACTACTGTATCATCATTTTAAAGGCGTTTTGTGAGAGATTGACAATTTTTTATTTTGTTTACAACAAATCAAAAATGAAAAACTTGAAGCTTCGAATGAAATTTGAATTTGAAGAAGCATATACAATTTCAATTATATTTAATTATTTTTTAAAATATTTTTCTAATTTCTCCATTTCTGTCGCGCCGTACACTCCCTCTTTGAAATTTCCACCCGCTACTGTTCACTATTAAAATAA